TGGTGCACCGGATGGGGAGGGACTTAGACCAACCTGACGTTCAGTTATCACTGTTGGCTTTTCTAGCTGACTGATAATTCGCCACTGCTACCAAGAGCTGTGCTCCTCCAAAATGGCCGTCTAAGTTACACAACTTAAAAGCTTGCCTTTGTACAATTTAATGTGCCTGTATATAGTATTCATCAGAGAAATATGACCACACAAATGGTCAGTTTTCAAAATAAATAGTTTTGTACACAACTAAACACAGTGAAAGATGGAGGATATTGTCATGGAGGGCAGTGTCTTGTTCACACTTGCCTCTTCCCTCACTCCTCCCTCTTTATCCTCTTCCCTCCTCCAGCCCTTCCTCTGCTGCGTTACCAGCCGTGGCAGCGGGGAGAAGAAGAGTGAGGAATCCAGCAGCCACTCAGTCAGACGTTAGTCAAATGTTTTCTCTCTGGCTCACTACTGTATAGTATCACTCCAAGGATTTGTTCTAGGAAAAGCATTTTTCACACAAGACACTCACAATCATGAGTAATTTTCTTCCTATAATTCAGTAATTTTTTATCTGATATTCTGATCCTGTTTTAATCCCACTTTGGCTGTTGTTGGATGTGAGTACTGGAGTGGTTGAGATTGGCTTGCTGTTGTACCTCCGCTGCCAATTTTTGGAGAAGGGAGGTCTGTAAATGGGGGAGGAACCTCAGAAGATGGTTTGACTTGAAAGAGAGGGCGACCTTCTCTGTTGCAAAGAGAGAGAAGTCATCGGAGTCTGATGCTGGACAACAACACAAGGTGTTGGATTTGGGGTTTTTATATTTCATTTTTGGACAAATCAGAGAAAAACATTTATTTTGCAAAAAGGGATAAAGAAGTATTTTGTTTTTGGGAAAGAATCTTAAGTTTTTGCTTCACTTCAGTTTTACAACATGGCTGGGATGTATGGATGCTTCAAGAGCAGGAAGTAAGTTCATTTTTGTAATAATGTTGCTGCATTTTTAATTGCATTTATTACCAGTAAATGATTATGGTTAAATGATATTGTGATGCTCAGTTCTGTTGTACCATACAACTATAACTTACTCAGAATATATTCACAATGTGTTACAGAATCAGCCATAAAATCTTGTTTTGACATCACACCTGACAACATAATGTTACGCATCTACTTGCTTCATCAAACTGCCCATTCAGATCCTCTGAACATGATCTTTAAATATCTGTGTCATAGGATGTGGGTGTTAATTGGTTCTTTAAAGCGATTTGTCATTTGTAACACATAATTATGTATTAATAGAGGCCATGAACTACTTGTAATAACGAACAACATAACAGTCATGCACTCTGCTACTGGAGTGCTTATTTCACACTTAGCCACATTGTGCACTGAAGAGCAAAAAGCTTTGACTTCAACACAAATCCAAATGCTGACAGAAATGACAACTTTTTCTTTGAGTGCACTACTTTTAATTTGCATGTTGTTTTTTTCCCCCACAGTTGACTCTGTCTTTTGTTGCAGCTGTCAAATCAAACTTTTGAATTCTTTTGTTTACTGAGACAATTGATGGCTTGTAGTTGGCGCTGTATGACTCAAAGCTGATTGATTGGAGAGAATAATTTTACACTAGAAGTGAATGACTAGTCAGAATATCCCAGAACTAAACTTGCTTTTAGTTTTGGTTTGGTGAATTCCCTGGAACACAGGATCAAGTTATATTTTAATGTTTTGAATTGGCTAAATATAGACCTTGGGGCTTGGCAGTGTGATTGGACCACAGAGGTTTAGAATAATGAGTGCCTTTGAGCTTTTTTTTACTACAGTAAAGTATTATAACGTTTTTTTGGTGATGTGGTGTTGGGTGCACCGTAACCCTCTTTCACTTACTTTATCTTTGGCCTTTCAGTCTCATGACATGACAACAATACAAGCTTTTATGGCCCACTCAGCAGAGTTGACTTAGACAAAGATTTTGTTTGTGTTTGTGACACACAGGCAAAGTGAATTAGGAGAGGGGATGAGCTGCAAGACAGCTACACACAGATTCAACCAAGAACCACAATTGTGTTATCCTGGCATTGGTTCACTCTGTAACCAAGATTAACTTGAATCACTTCTTACTACAAACTCTCCATATACAGACAAACGTAGGACTGAGTGCTGTCAAACTGAACTCATTTAACTTGGGAAGTAGAATACATTATACTTGGCATTCACGGGGTTTAAGTCTGAAGAACACTGTTAGGCAACTGAAAAATTTCCTTATTACATTTTCAAAAATTACAGATTTTTTTTCTTCCTCTGTTTATTTCAACATTGTGTTTAAGGTGGCAAATAAAAAAAGCCAACAAAAAGTGACTTCCATGGGCAATGTTTTCCCAAGTGTATATCAACTTGGGAACTCAAGACTCAAGATAGCAGAGAACCACAACACATCATTCAAATGATCTCTCCACGGTAAACACAATCCCACCTGAGAGTAGCATAAATATCTCAATGTTTTTTGGATTTGGGCAACTTTAATTCACAGCAATTCCTGTCAAATTACTTCTTTATGTTTGACAAACATACATAGGCGTCACCTTCAAAGTCTTCATGTTTCAAAATATGAACAATAACGCATAAATCTAATGCTGACTTTCAAAACCAGTCAGCTGGAGACAGAGTTTGTAGCCATACTGCTGGCTTGTTAAAGTATAAGAAAAACATATTAGTCCAGCTCATCATATAATGCTCTAATAATATTGACCAAATTCCTCGCACATAGCATAGGCCAAATGTCCCCTGTTACAGGCCATTCTCACCTCTATTAACAAGTGTTTTGAATGTACATTTATTGTAATATTTACAATTCTAAGTGCTAAATTGTCCCTCACTGTACCCAGCAAATGTATTTTAAGAAAGTTTCAATAAACAAGCATTATTTCAAAAAGGACACGTTCTATTTTGAGGCACAATGTAATTTCTCATGTATCCCCCCCACCACCACCATTAATGTACTGAAGAATCAGTTTCAGGCATCACACCAGTGCGCAATAATACTTTTCACTAAAGAAAGGCAACTCATCCTTGCACCCCCACCAACCCTTCAACCATCAAATGTACTGAACGCTCAAAATTGTTTTTCTAGAAAATTCCAAACTGTCTAACTGGAAAGACCTTATTTAGAAGTCATGGCTCGTCCATCAGGCACACAGTCTGGTCATTGCTGTACCAGCTAATGTCCTCTCGTGGACGTGGCCAGTAAAACTTGGTCCCATTCTTATGCATGCATTTCACTCTTGAATTATCTTTAACCTCCAGGATGATTCCAGTCACAGCAGCTTAATTTACAAGCTGCAAGCTGACAAAATTGATGGTTGCCAGCAAAAAGTGACCCTGATCTGTGTTTTCCTGGGGAAAGTAAATTGCTGCTGCAAGAGATGGTGGAGGGTCAGTAGGGGGCATTTCTCCCTCTGGTCCGAATAAAAAAACTTTAAAATAAATCACAGTGACGGGGCACTCTGCTGTAGGAGATGCCATCCTCCGGATGAGATGTTAAACCAAGGTCCTGACTCACCGTGGTCATTAAAGATCCTGTGGCACTAGTAACAAGTAGGGGGTTCCCCAGTGTCCTGGCAAAATTCCCAACCTAGCTGTCACCATCTGGCCATCTGACCCCTCAATCAAGAACCCTCTCTCTTGAGAATCACTGTAAACTGTGAATGTGCTGCACGAGAATGGAAAGCTTGACAGGCATGACAACACTGACTGAAGGTATGAGGCTTACACAAAGGCTTAATTGGCCACAACACAATTAGTGATGCAACATGTTTGAATATTTCAAGCTATATAGAGACATTTTTTCCCACAGTAGGCATTTTGACCCTCGATTTAGTTGTAGCAAACTCTTCAGTGTAGATGGGAGTCTTAAAGCTGAGCACTTTCTCATCAGGCCCAATCTTCCCCCAGTGTTTATCTGGTCCAACAGTCATTATGTACAGTAGGCTGAGTTTGTTCAGCAGGAAGGGTGATGCAGCTGTAAATGAATGTAGACTGTGCAGAGAGACTGATGAGAGTGTTCGGTCAGTTTCTGTCTTGAGTCCATGTAAGGCTTGTTGCTAAGAGCACAGCCCCCTTTTAAACAGGAGGGGAAAGGAGATGGAGGAGAGGCAAAGGAAGGACAGCTGGAAGACAAGAGAAACCCCAAACAATTGTTTCTAAATTGTAACCAAACCTCAAGCGTTTTGGACGATAATCTTTACTTGAACAGGAATTTTAAATCTGAAACTGACCGAGAATTTCAGCTTGGTTCAACACTCTTCCAGAGCTCAGTCACGTCCTGTCCCGTTTAGAAATAACGAAAATAAGGAGAAGATGTTTTTAGATGACTTTAGAGGGAGACTTAGGCAAGACCATACTTTTAGATGGACAAAAGATTCAGCCGGTTGTAAAGTGTGGAAGATTGTCAACCAATCAAGCACGTCCAGTGGTTTAAGCAGCTAATACGAATCTGAGGAATGACGAGATCAACAACATCATTGATCACAACAAATTTATCAGACGCTTGAGTGTTTTTTCCCTATAACTAGTCATGCTTTGACACTTTTAGTTATAAGACCCTGTTTGGGGCCAATCACTCACCATGTTGCGTTACCTTGCTTCTGTGGGATTACTACAGTACAAGTCCAGGTTAATATAGTCAGGCATGCTGGACTAAAAAGCTAAAATTTCTTTTGTAGTTTATCTGGGAACTTCTTTACAGTAGGCAGTCACTGGTTTTGTTTGTCACAGTGTATCACTGTTGTTGCGTGCAAAAAGCTCTGTTATAGTGTGGAGTTTGTTTTGTTTCCCATTTTCCTCTTTATAATTGCAGGTTTACATGATCCACGCAGGCTTGGACTCGAATCAAACCACATTTTATAACTCTGTGATTAACACAGATTATCGTTTTACTTCACCAGAAATGATTCTGCTCACATTTTGTTTCTAAATCTCAGTTAGTCGTATTTTTCAAGCACCAAAGTCTCTCAGTTAAATATAAACCAGGGGGGCATCTGATAACCAAGGCAACTGTTTTAGTTGGCACTGATCCACTGTGATTCAAATCACTGATGTGCTGCATCATGCTGTATATAAAAGGTCATTGTAGTTCACTGTGTTCATTGGCTAAATACAATGTTAGGAATGTCAAGATTCATGTATCAGGACAAAGTAGGTTAGATTCTTTACTTCTAGAGGGGTTTCCCCTTTACAAACAATCCAGGATGCACGTGCAGTAGGAAACACATTACCACAATGTCTTGATAGCTTGATTATGGACTTTTTCAGCATTTAGAAGTGAAGCAAATCTCTGGAAACCAGTCAAAATGCTGTTTACAGGTAAACTTCACCTTGCATTTTCAACATTCATTTGCCACACGCCTGTTACTGTCTTAGCCTGTCAGCTCTGGCTAGCTAACATGAGATATACTCTTGTGAGAAATGGCAGCTAGTAGCATTGATAATGCTAGCTGAGACTATACACAAGTTCTACAGGCAGTGAGAAATGAACTGAGTGTCCCAAAACATCAAACGGCAGCATGGGTTAAAAGCACAGAGGCCCCCTCCCTCTCACAAGTGTTAGCATTTTTAAAACTAGCATTCGCATAAAAAGTAACATTAGCATATACCGTACTGCTGCACAAGTTAAAACACATAACCTTCCTCATGCTGTATATTATATGTGTCAGAATGAAAATCCTGCTTTTTGAGTGAACAGATTGTATTGGCCATGTTAGATGCCGTATAATCCATTCCGCAGCAGCACACTTGGTAGGTGGTACTTTTTTTTATGCATTTTAAAGCATGGGAAGTCAAAGTAACACTGACATTCTTTAGAGTTCAGGACTGAAATTTAATGAGTAAGTTCCTTAGTCACCGTCTCCTGCTGACCATGCAGGCATTGAATGGGTCAAGAGGAAATACCGCGGTTCTGAAGGCCATGT